ATAGATTTGATTATTAACCAGGCAATGAATTGCTTACAGCATGAAAACTCTGTTAATGGAATCCTTTAGTGTTGTGGGCTGGGTTTTTTTTTTTTTTTTTTTTTTTTAGCTTTTACATAGCTTGTTAAGAGCTGCAAAAGCTTTTGCAATATTCTTCACCGAGCATTTTCTTGAGAGTTGTTTATGTTCTCCCCAGGTTTGTTTTTCTCATGACTTTTTGCAACTATGCATTCTTTCCCAGTTTCATCGTGGAATCACTGTTACATGGGTGAGGTCTGTCATTGATTGAAATATTATGTGGTACATGATAGTGATTAAATTTGTTTCAGTTTATTGTTTTTTATATCAGTCTTCTAGTGCTGGGGATCAGACCTAAGGCCTTACACTTGCTGAGTACATACACTACCAGCCCCCAATCTTACTATTTGTCCTCTGCCAAATTTAATTTGGTCCATTCTTATCTATTCAATTTGTCTTCTCTTCACTGTCCTTTTCCCTCTCTTTGCTCCTTGACAGAATCCCTCTCCCACTAAATCAACTTGGCTGATTTATTTTTTCCTGCTGAATTTATATCACTGCTTTCAATCTTTCCCATATGTTCTGTTTATCTTCTAGTGTCGGATGTTTTGAATTCTTAGGACATACTGACTGTATCCTACTTTGACATTTGGCTATATCCTCATAATTAGACTATTTATATATATCTTTATGTCTCCATTATCTTTTTGTGTCTGGATACTCAGAGTACATAGAAGAGATGATGGATTTGAGTCGGACAGGTGTATTTTGTATCATGACAGTGCTACTAACTATGATGATCAGAAAGATGCCAAACTATGTAAGCTTTGGGTGCCTTGTCTATAAAATAAAGATGTTAATGTATGCCCCAAGATGATTAGAAATTATAAGTAAACTATTGTTAGCCTATTCATGAATACAGATGTTTCCCATTCTTCGATGTAACTATAACAACAGTACACAATTTGTATTTGTAAATTTTTTTTTAATTTCAGAAACCAGATGATACAGACATTGTATACTATAATACAAACAGAAAACAAGATCTGAAAAGGTAAATTCTTTCTTTTTCTTGACATCTTTTTAGTTTTAGCTCAGAATTAATGAGACTAAATTAATGAGACTAAAAGATTATTTCCCCAGTACATAGGTTGGAACCCCAGTATCTTGAGTGTGCTAGGCAAGCACTCTATCATTGGGTTATATATCCACCCTTGGGATTTAGGGAAACAGTGTTGCTATATGGATTACACTGGACTGTAGCTTGCTGTGTAACCTAGGTTAGATCTTGAGCTCATGATCCTCTTGCCTTATCTTAAGGCACCATGATGAACATCATGGACTAAATACTTGTTTATTTAAATTTTAATTACTTTTATATTTATTTATTTTATGTTGGGGGCATGCTTGTGTGCCTTGGTATGTATATGGAGGTCAGAGAACAACTTGCATGAGTAGGTTTTCTTTTTTCACTATGTGGGTTCCAGGGATTGAACTCAAGTTGTCAGGCTTGGTGGTGGTAAGTTCTTTTACCCACTGAGCCAACTTGATGGCCCAAGACTAAATGTTTAAATGTGGAAAAACTTTTATTTACTTTGATTAGTATTGTTTTGCATCCAGATATTTCTAGTAATATCATAGATTACTAGAAGGTTAAGAAAAAGTTGAAAAAAAAGCAAAAAGCCAGGCACCTTTAATCCCAGCACTCATGAGGCAGAGGCAGGCGGATCTTTTGAGTTTGAGGCCAGCCTGGTCTACAGAATGAGTTCCTGAGCTACACAGAGAAATCATGTCATAAAAAGTCAAAAATAAGTAAGTAAATAAAAAGTCGAGTGAAATAAAAAAAATCTATCAAAACTGTTGTATAAATGTGAATTCAGACACAGTATGGATTATTAACTCAGGGACTTGGTTTTGATACATAATTATAATAAGATAGCTAATTATGTGTGTCAGTAGGGAGTTTGTGAAGCTAATTTATAAATTATTTATAGATTATGTTTATAACCTATGAAACAACATTTAATTTACTAAATTATAGATATGGCTCTAAAATTATGTTAATTAACCATCATGTGATTATAACTAAAGAATGTGAAGAATGATGGTAGAGACAAGGAAATTATTTTTCTTTAATTCATTCATTCTTCAGATAAAAATTTCAAAGAATTTTATAGTTAAGGAATTTCTTGTTAATAATGGGGATAAATATAAGAAGTATAATGTGAAATAAAAAATAAAAAATAGAAAAAAGTATAATGCGTACATTAAGTTATGAGCTATCTAGTGTGGGTGCTGGGAATGAAGCTCAGGCCCTCTGCATGTGTGGTATGAACTCATAAGCACTGAGGCATCTCTCCTGTAACACAATTAGTAAAAACCCAGAGACAGATTTTGGGGTTCAAGCTGAAGATCAGAGAAGCAAAGCAGCCAAGCCAGTAGCTCTTACCTCTGCCAAACTGCAATGGCAATCCTGTCACCACAAATCCTCAGAGACAATCTGTCTCTGTGAATCCTCAGAGGCAAAAGCTCTGAGTTCCTATCTCCTCCTGCTTTATATTCCTTTCTCCACCGAGTCATGTCATTCCTGTCTCCAACTCCCAAGTGCTGGGATCAAAGGCCTGAACTCTCACTCTTCTGTTGTGTAGGCCATGGTGGCCTTGAACTCAGAGAGATCCATTTGCCTACCTGTCTCCTGAGTCCTGGGAATAAAGATGTGTTCCCCCACTTCTTGGCTGCTGGGATTAAAGATGTGTATCACCATTGCCTGACCTCTATGGCTTGTGCCTAGCTTTGCTTTCTGAACCCTCAGGCAAGCCTTAATAAATCATAAGTAATATGTCACCACACTCTCCAGCTCTGTTATATTTTTAAGAAGTTTAGAACCAGCCCAATTAACTCTGATATAATGACATGTTTCAACAGTATGCATAACAAAACCTAAGTTTCTGTGCTGCTTTGTAGATTAAATGTAGAAGTTGACACGCCCAGAAAGAGACCAAAATTCAGTTCTTCAACCCAAGGACCTACTAAACTCCAAGTAACATCATATTCAAATAACAATCAAGTTACTTCACAGAGTTGTTCATCAAATGGAACTAAAGATACTAAACTGAAAGATAGTAAATTGACAAATGTTGGAAGTAAGCTTGATTATGAAATAAAAAAACATAGGACCATTAAAATTACCAAAGATATGAAATCTAAAGCTGAAGGCCAGACAAAGGAAAAGAATTGGCCTCATTCACTTATTCAGGAGAATATGAAGGAACTCAAGAAAGAAAAGAACAATAAACTTAGAGACAGTTCTGAAGAATTGGAGAAATGCAAGAAAAATCAATTTCCTCAGAATTATAACTTCAGCGATATAAACAAGGAACCACTTGAATCTGGAAGGAAGAAGATCAGCTTCAAAATTCCCAAAAAATCTTCTAGCATCCTCCAGAAGCATGTAGGAGAAAATGTCTTTAATGCAGATTCTAGTAAGTCAAAGATTAAGCAGGGGGAAAGGGAATGCTTGAAAAGTTCCCAGATGTCATTAGATTTGAACAGGCACAAAGCTGGAAACTTGTTTTCAGATTCCACATGCAAGCAGGCTGTTTGTGAGGGAAAAAGAAAAGAACACCACGAGCCTCCAGAAATTAATTCTTCAGATTCTAAGGAAAACCGTACCCAGGTAATGTATAAAATGAAGGATTTGGTTTTAGTAAAACTATTTGAAATACTCAGGTTTTAGTTGCTTCTCTTATTGATGATAATCATAGAGAGCTGATTCAAGTTTAGTTATTTAGATAATGTATCTGTGTCTTGTTTTATTCTCTTTCATTCCAGCTCCCTTAGGATGATATTGATACCACCTGGCTTTGGAATCAGGGCAGTATCCAAGTCCTTGTGTTCTGGGACAAAGAACTGGACAGAGACATACAGATAGTAGTAAGCAAAGGGAGAAAATTTATTTAGAAAGGATAGCATTACCAGCAGCAACAGTTTATTAGAAGATATACTTCCAATGGGAGGAAGCTGGCTGGGACAGAGAGGAACTTCAGCAAATCAACTTCCTACCTACTGCACAAAGAGTTCCAGTTTTATGTTACTTTAGTGTGAACTTTTAACTTATTTTCTTAGCACTGGGCTTTTCTGTGCATACTTGTTACATGCAATTCTGCATACAACTTCATGTGTTATACATCACATCTTAAATTAGAATCTTAAATCTCTACCCAGGGTTATATAATAGTATTATGAACCATAGGTCATCTTTGCACCTTTTGTAAGAGTTGCCTTGATCATGGTGTTGCTTCATATCATAGAACAGTGCCTAAGACTGTCTCATAGGAAAGCCTAGTGTTTTGTTTTGTATTTTGTAGATGGAAGAGAGGCACTGAGAAGTAATCAAGGAAGCAAGATAGTCATGTTTTCCCATTTAGAGTCACTTTGGTAACTAAAACTGTTAACCTCATTCAGTGTATTTAATAAAGGATAGTAAGGTATAGCATTAGTAAATGCCCACTAATGTTTCCATTTGCAATAGGCTTAGGAAGTTTCAAAGACAACATGAATTTCCTACATTAGGTGATAGATTGATTCACCTCTCTGGAAGTGATGTGAGGTCAGAGAGAAAGAGTAGAACCAGCCTGAAGAAGAGAACATGGGTATTAGAATGTCTAGTTACAAGCAGTTCTGATTACTCTAGCTAGCTTCCTTGGCACTTTTTTAACTTAAGAAAACCTTAAAGAAATTTTAATAAGATTTAAAGGGAGATTTTGTCATAAGATATTAAAGTGATGGCATAGAGTTGGAATTTATGGAAAGATTTGTTTCAGTCTCTGTTAGAAGACAGAAAATAATACAGACCTCTAGAGATGCTCTCAATGTATATGATACAATTCTGCGGTTTTGACCTTTTCTGCTTAGTTGTAATACAGTCCTCGGATTTTTTCTTTTTCTTTTTCTTGTCAGTCACTATTAGAAATGGCTCAATGACCTCTATACTTGATCTTAGCCAACGGGCTGTGAAGCAGTTTGGTGGTTTCTGAATAAAATTTTTCTGCCACTAAAACCCTGTTTGTTTATCTTTATGATGAGTATTCTTTAGGGTGGCATACAATTCTGTTATTTTATGGAGGCTTTTTTTTTCTTTGAGACAGTGTTTCTCTGTAGCCATGGAGCTTGTCCTGGAACTTGTTCTGTAGACCAGGCTGGCCTGGAACATACACAGATCCACCTGCCTCTGTCTCCAGAGTGCTGGGATTGAAGGTGTGCACCACGACCACCTGGCATTATTCTATTATTTAAAGATGAGTATTTTAATGACTAAAAGCCCGAAAGAGTACGATTCACATTTTATGACTTGGGAGAATAGGTCTTTCTCTTCTAGAGGAGATTTCTCATATGGGGGCAGTTTTATCTCTTGGGGTTGTTTATTAGTGTCTGGGGACACTTTTTTTTGTCAGTGTGGTGGGGCTGGCAAGATGGCTCAGTATGTGAAGGTACTTGCCATCAAGCCTGATGACTTGGTTTTGGTTTTGGGACCCACATGGTGGAAGGAGAGAGCTAACTCCCCCAAGTTATCTTCTGACTTACACACACACACACACACACACACACACACACACACACACACACACACACACACACACTTGTTAGTTTTTTGTTGTTGTTGTTGGGGGCAGCATGGGTACCAATTCTGATATCTGGCCACTCAGATGCAGAGAGGTTGTTATATAAGGCTTAACTCAAAATCCTTTCTCATTTCAGAATTTTGAAGCTCCATGTTCCTCATTGTCATCTGAGAATATCCAGGATACAGATGAAGAGGTTTGGCTATTTTAAAGAAATTCAAGCAGTTCTTTCTTCTTTTTTGAGAGAGAGAGAGAGAGAGTGTGTGTGTGTGTGTGTGTGTGTGAGAGAGAGAGAGAGACAGAGAGAGCGAGAGAGAGGGGGGGGGGTGTGGGGTAGGGTCTCATTATGTAGCCTAGGCTGATCTTAAACTTGTACCTCCTGACTCGGTCTCCTGAATGGTGGAGTTATAGGTATATGCCAGGATGCCTAGTTCAGCAGTTCCTGCTTTTAATAAAATGTCTGTAAAAAAACTTGGCAGTATGAAAACAATGATGTCTCTCTTTAAACTAAAAAAAAATCTACATATTGATTTATTAGGAAGTTCATTTTGCCAGTTTTAATTAGGTCATCAAACACCTTTTGGAGGGGCTAGGGATTTAGTGCATTTGGTGGAGTGCTTGTCTAGCAGCAGTATAAGGCTCTGGGTTTAATCCTAGCACAGAGGTGGGGGAGAAGTCTTTACATTTACTTGACTTTTGCCTTTGTTTCTAATAAGCAAATCTATTTTAAACGGAGGGTGGTGTTCATTTGCCACAAGTTAAATTTATTTTGATTTAATGCTATGCTTTTGCTTGTGTATACCTAGAGTTGTCAAAATGCAATGTGACACCAACATGTTCTTCTGTTTTCTACTCATGCATAAGATGAAATTGTTTTTGTCAAATGAAAGTCCACATTATCTTATCTTTTTACCTATTGCTCTATTTTCTACCTAGAATCTTCTGGTTTATCTTCATAAAATTTACATGTACAATTTTATGTTGCCTGAGTAAATTAAAATTCACCAACAGTTTGTATTTTTCTGTTAACAAGATTGTGGATCACCTTTAATTGTAATAGTTACTTTTATTTTCCAGTCTTAGGAATCAGTGCCCCTTGGTAGAAGACTGTTCATGACTGCTTTAAAGATATAATATATTCTTGTTTCTTCTTTCTTTTTAAACTTTAAATCTGTGACAGTTTTTCACTGTATAACTTAGGCTGGCCTTGTTCTTGCTTTGTAAAGAAGACTAACCTTGAATTCATGATCTTCCAGCCTCAGCCTTCTGAGTGCTAGAATTACACGAATGTACTACCATGCCCAGCCACAGTTTTTAGTTTATTTATTATTTATTTATTTAGAAAATATACCACTGGAGAAGTACTTCTAAAGTGCAAAGGATCTTAGGATTTAAAAAAAAAAAAAAAAAAGATTACTAGTTCAGAGCCAGACTTGGGGGTAAAGGTGCTCGTGCACATACCCTCCTGTGTTACCTGAATGCGCAATGAAGTTTTAAAGTGTAATACAATTAATAATAAAAGATTTAGAGTTTAGTTTCTGATAGTGGATAAACAATATTAGAAATTTCAAAGACATTGGATGAGACATTTTTGGTTTTTAGTAGAGCCAGGGATTGAATCCAGGGGCTCACACATGCTAGGCAAGCTTTCTAGCACTCAGCTGTAGCCTCAGTCAGTTCACACTCATTAAGGTAAGAGAAAGCTGACTGTTTAAAAGTAACTTGAGATGAGAATAGACATGACAATGAACTTATTTCGATGTCTGTATGCTAGGTTTTATGCAAGAAACTTCACATGACTTATTTTAATAATATAAAAATTCTAAAGAAAATAGATAAAATGTAATACTCTTTATTGATGGGCAAGTTAGATTCTAAAGTAGTAAAATAGTTGTTTGCCTGAGGCTACAGAAAGGAACTTATTTTAAAACAGTATGGTTATAAATCCTTTATGTTTTACTGTGGTGTCTCTATTTCTGTAAGGTGTTTTCATGATGTATTGCTTTCTTCTCTTATTAAATGTCTTCAGTAAGTAACTCAGATATTTCACTGGGTTCTTTTACAATTTAGATGCAGATAGTAGAAGAGCTCCATGCTGCACGTGTGGGAAAAAGTGTGCCTTTACCTGTCGTTCCTCCTTCTGGAGAGTTAATGAGTATGGAAATTGACTTGGTGGAAGATGATGTACATTCATCTACTGGTATACTCTATATGTTAAATTTTATGATTTGTGTTTTTCTAAGAATTGGTGCACTAACATTTAGTTTTACAGTGCACAGATGAAAGTGCTAAATGTGCTCATTTTAAAATTATAATTGTGTATTTCTTACCCTATTAGACCATTAGACATTTTCTCAAGAATTATCAAGTTACGAACTGTCTTTTATGCTTGTTCTTAATTATAACTTTTAGTTCTTTCAATCATAAAAGGCACTGATCAGATAGAAGAAGGCAGTTTGCTCTAAGATATTATTTTCATGGTTTCCTTGTTAATATATTAAAATTTTTATTATTGGGAACAGATAATAACAACTATTCAAAATCCCAGACATGGTTGTGCATGCCTCTTGACTCAGCACTTGAGATGCTGAGGCAGGAGGATTAGGAGTGCAAGACTATCTTGAACTATATAGAGTTCCACGACAGCCTGTTCTATTTAGTATTAAATATTCCTTCTCTCAAAATAAATAAAAATAAATAAGATTACCTAAATTAGGACACTATTTTGAGTTCTCTGTAAAAGTTATAGTACTACCTCTTATTCATATTTAAAGTACTCATATTTTACAAATTTCTAAGCATTTTCCTATATGATTTAGTAGGAAACTTGCTGGGAGCCTTTATTGTTTATTATAGAAGTAGCAATTAATATTCTAGGTATCAGTTCCAGAATATTTGTTACTATGAATTTGGCTGTATACAGAATATACACTGGGTGCTTTGTATTCTCAAATAGGCTCCAGAGAAAGGAATTCCTTCTTACCAGGGTGTCAGTGGTAAGAGTGCTTATTGAGTCTAGAAGCAGCAGCCTTTGGATCTCACACTACATAGCCTTAGTTTATTTCCTTTAATATAGTGCTGAGAATTCCCTTTAATGGATTAACAGCACGTCTTTACTGGTCATGTCCCTCCTGAGACATGAGGTGTTCTGCGTTTGTCAAGATTTTATCTGCCTTCCTGGCTCTGAGAATATGCATGTCCTATTGTCACAGAGTTATTAAATGTGTCTGTGGGTATATAACTGGAAGCCTTGTAGGGGAAAAGGAACTTTTAGAGAGTTTTTAAAGGGAGTCTTGGGGGAATTTTTAGAAAGAACTTTTAGAGAACTTTGTTTTTTTGTTTTACGAGACAGGGTTTCTCTGTGGCTTTGGAGGCTGTCCTGAAACAGGCTGGTCTTGTAGACCAGGCTGGTCTCGAACTCACAGAGATCCATCAGCCTCTGCCTCCTAAGTGCTGGGACTAAAGGAGTGCACCACCACTGAGAATTTTTAAGAACTTCTAGAAACTTTAAGAGAGAGCTTTCAGAGAAAGAAATTTTGAGCAGAGAACTTTTGAGGACAAATCTTAAAGAGAGCTTTTTGAGAGATAACTTTTGGGAAGAACATTTTTTGAAGAATCAGGATTTATGAGAAGAATGGTACATGTATGAACTGATTTATTGGTCCTCAGAACCTTTTAGCCAACCCCAGCCTGCCTGCTGTAAACCTTCTGCCTGAACCTGTGATAGAAACTTACCAGATCTTCTCAAAAGTCCTATGAAATAACACTGCTAGTTTTATATATTTCTTTTATACATATTTAGCTTTTCAATGATATTTTATTGGGGGTATAATAAAATTAATTTATATTTCTTGAATCCATAACTACCAGGGGTGCAGGGCAGGATTTAGAACCATAGTAAACTGTTGGGGAAGGTCAGTTTATGATTAAAATATACCCACAAACAATTTATGAGAGTTTACTGGGGTGTATTTTTCCATTAAGAATTGAAGTAACCAGAGTTTTATAGTCATTTTTTAAAGGACTTCTTCCATTATGAATGTTCCTAAAAACATTTCTATGAGCAGTTCTCTAGTCTTGACCCTGTTTGTTCCTGCATTCCTGCTTCATCAGACCTTGCCTTCTCTTGACCTAGACAAGTCATCCCTTGACCCTCTTCTGCCCAGACTCTGGCTAAAACAAGGTGTGGGTCCTGCCTAGGGAACCCTTGAGGGGGAGAAATTTACATGGCAACAAGTAATCAGATAGGCAGTAGCTTGAGAATCCTGTAAATTGATCCTCTTGCTCCATCAAGGTTACAAGACAGAGTGGTTTTAAAGTTAAATGAGTTATTTTGTACTTCTATACCCAAATTTGGTTATAATTTATTATCAAGTGTTGTAAATATTCTAACTCTGCTCTTCTTCTCTAGTAAATACTGCCACAGACAAAAAACTTTTAATTGTTATTGACACAAATATTCTGATGAATCATCTCAAATTTGTTAAAATTTTGAAGACAACAGAAATACCAGGTATATATAAAAATTTATAGATTCTGATTTTCTTTTTTGAGTTGATATTCTATATTAACAGTTGTTTTTTTTCTCACAAATCATATTCCATTATCTGAAGGTTTTTTTAAAAAACATATCCTAACCTATAAATCTAAAATATGCTTTTTGGATGGTAACTTATTGTATTTTAAAATTACTTGCTTATTGTGAAATTGTTTACATTGTGAACCTTGATTATAGGACTCATGTGAACCTTGATTATAGGACTCATGTTTGCTAAATTCATTCTTTCTGTAATCTGGAAGTTTTTAATATTTGAATTCTTCACATGCCACCAGATATGTGTGGTAGTTAGAGAATAGCTTACAGACAGCTTGTAAGAGTCTCTTTTTTTCCTGCCACCATGTGGGTCCTTAGACTGGGCAGCAAATGTACTTGCTCACCAAGCCATCAACATGGTCTGGAGACTGTGTACTTGAAAACTTTGACTTCTACAGAAATTTATTTAGTAGCTCAATGCATGTTGGAACCTAAGAAATCTTTATCTTTTTTAGGCTTTGACACACTTGTGTTAATAATTCCCTGGGTAGTTGTACAAGAGCTAGATCGAATGAAGGCAGGAAAATTACTAAAACATGTCCAGCATAAAGCTGTACCTGCTATTCATTTCATCAACGACAGCCTCAAAAGTCAAGATAGGAAACTGTGGGGTCAGTCATTACAGCTGGCATCCCAAAAACTTTGTAAGTATTGTTGTTCCTGGGTATGCTTTGATAAAGATTTGTTTGGGTGCTGGTGTATTATTGGAAGGAAATGGTTTAAAAATTGACATTAAGTAGCCCTTAGAATGTGAAATGAAAAGGGTATTGTGACAATTTGTGGCTCATTTTGGGAGTCTTTGGTTTTGCTTTATTATTTTTCTTATACTTTCTTAGGCTATTCTAGTATTTCACAGATACTGATTATATAGTTTTTTATGCCTTCTATAGAACTTTGGATTTCTTCTTCCTCTTGTTAAATAATGATCTATATTTCCTTTCTATTATTCCCTCTTCCTCTTTTCTTCCTCTCCTCTCTCCCTTCTTTCTTCTCTTATTACTCTCTGTCTTCTCTTTAGCACTTTCCCTTCTTCCCTTTCTCTTTCTTCCTCTATCCCCCCACCCCTCTTCTTCCTTTGGTTCCTTTCCTCTTCTCTGCCCTCCCTCCCTCTTCTCTTTTTCTTTTTGGTTTTTCAAGGCATGGTCTCAGCACAGGCAGACCACGTGCTTACTATGTAGGTACAAGGTGATGTTGAGCTCCCTACTTTCCTCCTGTGCTGTGCCAGTATGTGCTGTCATTCCTGAATCACTTGTGTTTTCTGCCAAGGGCCCATGTTTCCTTTCCTGTACTCCTCTAAATGCAGTGTTTTAGAGGTTCAGGAAAAACAGACACAAATTGTTGCAGACTGTGAAGTCTGTATTGAGAGAGCTCTGAAGACATTGCTTTGCTGTCTTCATTTTATTTAATGAGTTTTCTGCTTTTCAGTTATATATATATATATATTTTTAAAAAAAAAAAAATAGATGCTTAGGAGAGATGGCTCAGTAGTTAAGAGCACTTCCAAAAGTCCTGAGTACAATTCCCAGCAACCACATGGTGGCTCACAACCATCTGTAATAAGATTTGGTGCCCTCTGGCCTGCAGGCATACATGCAGGCTGAACACTGTACACATAATAGATAAATAAATCTTTTTTTTTTTTTTAAAAAAAAGATGCTTAGACAAGTTTTAGCTTAACAGCAAAATTGAAAAGTAGTTATGGAAATTTCTCATTTCCTTCCTATTCCCATACATTCTCTTATCATCAGTACCTCCCACCAGAAGAAGAAATATATTGCAGCCAGGCGTGATGGCTCATGCCTTTAATCCTAGCACTTGGGAGGCAGACATAGGCAGATCTTTGTGAGTTTGAAATCAGTTTGCTCTACATGGTGAGTTCTAGGACAGCCGAGAGAGACCCTGTCTCAACAGACCAAAAAAGAAAAGAAAGAAATGTATTACAGTCAGTGAACCCACATTGATACATCGTTGTCACCCAGTTTACATTGTCCACACAATATATTTGGAGAAATATATAGTGACATGTATCCACAGTGGTAGTATCAGAGTAGCTTTATTCCCTCGAAACCTATGTATTTTTAATTTGTAAATATTACCTAGATTATTCAGGTGATATCCTGATTTCTTTCTTTGTATTGGTGTATTTTTCTGATGTGTGTATATATATGTTTGCGTGTGTGCATCTGTGCATGGGAAAGTACGGTTCTGAGGAAACAGGCACTTATTTATTGACTGAGCTATTGTCCCAGCTCTCCCTGCCCCCACTGCAGCATTTTGTTTTATTTTGTTTTCCATTGCCTGGGTCTCACTCTGTAGCCCAGGCTAGCTTTGAATCTCTGACAATCTTCCTGCCTTAGCCTCTTGAATACTGGAATTTCAAGCATGCTCAAGCAATATCTAGATTTCTAATATACTTATTGACAGCTATCTTTGCTACATTTGCAGATGGGTTGAGTGATGAGAACAATGATGATCGAGTATTAAAATGCTGTCTTCAGTACCAGGAGTTATTTCCATGTTCTCTTGTTATTCTGTGCACGTGAGTGTCATAGTCATTGTGGTTTTTTTTTTTTTTTAATAATAGCTTATGGTAAAGAATTTTTAGAAATTTTATTTCCCAAATCAAGGATCAAACACTATTTCTTAGTCTACCACTAATCATATCCAGCTATTTTTTTTTACAATACATGATTCCAGAGGAATCCAGAGGAATGAGATACTAAATGGATGAACTTTTATTTCAGTTTAATTTTTATAATATTCAGAACACTTGAGAGAGGAGGGGGAAAGTTGATATCAAAATCTTAAAGAATATTTCAGTCATATGAGGCAAGAAGTTGGTTACTTATTTATATACAAGGAGAGGGTAGGGTATGTTACATTATGTTGTGGATGCCTCTTTTGCAATAAATTTTCCTGGGTTGGAATCCTAGGTCTGTTAGCTGTTAGCTGTATGGATCTTGACAGTTTTCCTAACTTCGCTTCCTTGTGTAAAATGAGCAGAAGAATTAATAACTGCTTTATAAGGTTTATTAGATAGTATATGTAAAGGAATTAGAGTAGTGCCTTGCATGTGGTCAAATCTTTTTTTTTTTTTTTAATTGAGACAAGATAATTATGTAGCCCATGTTGGCCTGTATATAGCTCATGTAACCATGTAACCCTGGTTGGCCTAGAACTTTCTCTTTTTGACTTATTGAGACAGGGTTTCTCTTTGTAATCCTGGCTGTCCTGTAATTCTCTCTGTAGACCAGGCTGGCCTTTTCAGCTGCCTCTGCCTCCCAAGTGCAAGGATTAAAGGTACGAGCCACCACTGTTTGGCTAGCCTAGAACTCTTATGTAGAGCAGGTTGGCATCAAACTCACAAAGATCCACCTGCCTCTGTGCCCTCGGTAGTGGGAATAAAAGGTATGTGCTTCTACACTCAACATGATTTTTCTTTAAGTGATGATAATGTATGTTGTATAAGTCATCTATCTACTTGTACCTATTGTGAGGATGCATCTGTTTGGTTGCACGGATACTGATGTGTTGATGTTACTATCAGCTGTTAATAGTAGCAATAGGAAAAATGCAACACAATATACTGTGCATTATTTTCTTTGAAGGTTTGGAAAACAAATTTCATTTAAAGAGAAGATGAGAAGGCAGACTCCTCATGAGACAGGATCTGGAATCAGAATCTACTGCTATGGGTCTTTTTGGGGGGAGAGGGTTCCAGACAGGCTTTCTCTGTGTAACTTAGGAGCCTTTCCTGGAACTTAAACTCTGTAGACCAGGCTGGACTCACAGAGGTCCACCTGCCTCTGCCTCCCAAGTGCTGGGACTAAAGGTGTGCTCCACCACCGCCCGGTACTATGGATTATTTGAAGTGTTTCACTTAGATTTACTGTCTGGAATCTGAAATCATTTAATATCTCTAGTTCATATGATTTTTCTAAGCTCCAGACTAATATACTCACCTACTTATTTCATAGTTAATTGTATATTGAAGACATTTGAAATCTATCATCATTAAAAAAAATGAACTCTTGGTTTTTCCTTCTAAATATTTTTTTTTTTTATTCTTCTCTCATGTATTACGTCCAGACCACAGTTTCCCTTCCCTCTTCTCCCAGTTCTGTGCCACCTCCCGCCCCCCACCCCCACCCCCACGTCTTCTCTCCCCTTGATCCACTCCTCCTCTATTTCCCGTCAGTTGATATTCTCAGGAATATCAACCAAATATGGCATATCAAGTTGCAATAAGACTAGGCACATTCCCTCATATAAGGCTGGATGAGACAACCCAGGAGGAAGAAAAAGATCCCAAAAGCAAGCAAAAGAGTCAGAAATAGCACCTGCTCCCACTGTCAGGAGTCCCACAAGAATACCAAGCTACACATGTATGCAGGAGACCTAGACCAGACTCATATGGGCTCCCTATTTGTTGCTTCAGTCTCTATGAGCTCCTATGAGCCCTGGTTAATTGATTGTGTGGGCTGTTTTCTTGTGGTGCCTTTGACCCCTCTGGCTCAATCCTTCTTGCCTCTCTTCCTCAGGATTCCCTGAGCTCTGCCTAATCTAAACTATTTTTTTAGGTGAGTGAAAAATGGCCACATCCTATCTTTCCAAAGCCCTATGTGGAGTACTGTAGATGCTCACTGCTATCTCACACTTCAGTATGAAAAGAACTTACTTTGATGCTTTGTTCTGCTGGGTCTCCTTGTTATCTCCCTGCCATGACCACACATTAAAACATGCTACTTTCCCCCTTTTCTACTTTTAACACCATCATGCTTTCTACTTACACACTCACAGTACTAATTCTTCTCAAAATTAAAATGGTACTTCCTTGTTTTTAAAAAGATTTACATTATGGAGAATTCCAACAATATTCAAAGTGAAGAAGAAATAAACTCTGAGGCTGGGAATATAGTTGAGCAGCAGAGCACTTATTAGCATCCATGAGGCCCTAGACTCAATTTACAGTTCTAGAAGGGAGGAATGAAACCCTAATGTAGCTACAACAGTTATTAAGAGCCTGAAATTCTTTGTGTCGTCTGTATCTTTATTCACTTCCTCTCTAGCTTGATTATTTTTTCCATGGTTCTTTGTTTTAAAGAAAAAATGTACTTATAATGTAATGCACAATATATTAGTAACTATTAGCATTATCAAATTGATACAGTGCCATAGTTCATGTTTCTTTCAATATATAAAACGTTTCCATCATTCCAGATAGTACTGTTATTACATTTCTTCCCCCCTTTTTCTTGTTTCTTAAGACAAAGCTTAAGACTTGAGTTTGGTTTCCAACCTGACACTGGGCAGCTTACAGCTAGCTACCTAGAATTCCAGTTCCAAGGAGTCTGACAGCTTCTCCTGGCCTCTGTGGGCACCCATGCATGTGACATGTGCGTGCATGCGTACAAATACTGAATGAAAATTGAAAAGCAGCATTCGAAATTTGTGGACTATACTAGTGCTTAAAGAGAAGTTTATAGAGGCTCCAAGTAATCTAAGTGTTCATCTTTTTTTTTTTAGTTTAAGTTTTGCAGTTTTTAATTTTGTGTATGTATGGGTCTGTGGGTGTAAGTGCAGGTACTCTCAGAGGCCAGGGGCATCTGGTGTTCTGGATGAGCAGGAAGTACTCTTAACCACTGAGCAATTCCTTCAGTCCCATATAAATGCTTTTATTAAGTTCATTTCTAAACTTGTTAACCATTTTCAATGTTTATATTGATAACCTGTGTGTTTGAATTGATATAGTTGAAATTTAAAAAAAATTTTTTTTCCTAATCACACGTTTAGGGATGATAGAAATTTAAGAAGTAAAGGCCTGATGAGTGGTGTGAAGTCACTCAGTAAAGAAGAATTGGATGCAGAGATAATAACTTTAGCTCTCAACACAAATATGTGTCATCAGCCTTGTGTTTCTAAGCAGCAGTTGAAAGCAGGTAATAGTTTTACTAAGAATGATTAGAAATACATCTCGTGTACTAATATTTTTGGCAACATTTGAAACGAATAATAAATTTTCATCTAGTACATTTAAAATAATAGTAAGTTTAGAATGCTTATTCATATAGTAAATGAAAATTATAAAAATGTGAAAGCAAACATTACTATTATTGCTGTCCATGGCCATATACTGGCACCAATTAATTTTATTTTTATCCATTTTCTTGCACTTATTTTTTACCTATTTATAATCATTGCAGACATGATAACTTGCACCATGTAAAGTATATCTTAATATACTAACAATTAATAATTATTAATAGCTGTGGGAAATACTCTTTTGAAGTGGAAGTTTTTAGTATTTTTGTTAAATTAGCTTTATATTCCTAAACCTTTATTAATACAGAAAAAACAAATAACATACAACTCTAATAAAGTAAATGTTTTTTTTTGTTTTTGTTTTTTTGAGACATGGTTTCTCTGTGTAGCTTTGGAGCCTGTACTGGAACTCATTCTATAGACCAGGCTGGTTTTGAACTCACAGAGCTTTGCCTGCCTCTGACTCCCAAGTGCTGGGATTAAAGATATGTACCACCACCACCTGGCCTTTTTTTTTTTTTTTTTTTGTTTTTTGGCTAGGGGAGTTAGTTTTTTCTTACACTCTGATATAAAGGCAATACTGCTTTTTTTTTATTAGAATGGACTATTCTGTGACTTGGTATTTGATGGAATGTTACATTGCATGGCACTGTTTATAAGTGTATCCCAACTTCCCGCTCTGTGGGAAACTTTCCCTCAGTGCTTTAGGACCACTTCCAGTTCTTTCACAGGACCAGAGTTCGGTTGCCAGCATCCACAGACAACTCTAGCTCCAGGGATCTGACCACTTTTTCTGCTCTCTTCTCCTCTGTGGGGAAAGTCATTGTTTTTTTTACATTAAATATACTGTTATAGGTAATTGTATAAATAATGAATGCACTCATAAATACTGCTTACTTCCCTTTTAGAAAATAGTATATTTTTGACATGATCTTCAAAATGACATTTGGGAGGAATTACAGGATATTTTAGTTTATGGTTTTTCAGGAGTAAACTTTCAGTTTGCCAGTTATATTACTGTCATTTTAAATTCTTAGCAGGTGTTTGTAGAGATAAGTCATTTAATATTTAAATTTTGCTATAAGAAATTTAGAGTTATTTTTTAAATATAAAAGTATAATGTTAATGAAATGGTAACTACTGAACTTATAAAAGCTGATTTTAAAAGAGGATGACAAGAATATATATGAGCCAAAAGCTTTCATCCTTTTAAAACACTTTATTGATATGGGTTGAAATATGCACTGTTATGGGGAAGAAAACCAATTTTGATATAACTGTTAGGTAGTTAAAAAATTGCAGGCCAGGTGGTGGCACACACCTTTATACCCAACACTCAGGAGGCAGAGGCAGGCAGATCTCTGAGTTCAAGGCCAGCTTGGTCTACAGAGCAAGTTCCAGGAAAGGATCCAGAAGCTACAGAGAAACTCTTATCTTGGCAAAACAAAAGCAAACAAAAAACCATCTCAACGCTGAGAAGGAGAAGTGGACACAAATTTCCTCCTCTAACCACCCTGAGCAAAGAACTATTTGCAGTTGATACCTGCTGGGAAAGAGAAAATTCATTTTCTCCAATGGAGTCTCACTGGGTATAACACACTCCAGGACAGGCCCAATGTATAGGAGTAGTTGACTAACACAGAATGGACTCTCTGTGTGTGTGAGGGGGGTACTTTTTGTTTCGTTTTGTTATTCTTTTGCTTACTGGGTTTTTCTTTGTTTTGATTTCTTTAGTAATAAAAAAAAAACAATGCCTTAATGTTAAGAGATGGGCAATAAATAAAAATATGTAAAATGAGGCCAGTGACATGGTTCAATGGATGTTTGCTACATACACCAAAAAAAGTAGTAAAATTCAATTTAGTTAAAATAACATGTTTTTTTCATATTTCCATTTGAGTAAAAAAAAAAAAAAAATTTAAGAGCCGGTGTTGGTAGCGCATACCTTTAATCTCAGCCCTTGGGAGGCAGAGGCAGGTGGATCTCTGTGAATTCGAGACCAGCCTAGTCTACAAGAGCTAGTTCCAGGACAGCCTCCAAAGCCACAGAGAAACCCTGTCTTGGAAAAAAAAAGAAATTAAGGTTTTTGGTTTTTTTTGTTTGTTTGTTTATTGTCAAAAATCCTGAGTGAGGACTAGGGATGTAGTTCAGCTGATGAAGTACTTTCCTGCACGAGCATAGGACCTAGCAGTACCATATCAACCTAAAATGGTGATACATGCCTGTAATCCCAGCACTGGGAAGTATAGACAAGACGGTCAGAAGACCAAGGTCATCCTCAGTTACACAATAACTTTGAGACCTGTGGGAAACCCTGTTTCAGAATAAAACTAAGTAAAGCCTAAATTTTGTCTTAAAGAAGCAGCACCTGTAGAGGAGCCATCTAAGGAAGAATCTACAAATTCTGCACTATCCATTCTACTTGAACGGATTATATGTGATCTTGAAAAATCTCTTGGGACAGCTTTATCTTCAATATTAGAAACAGAAATGAAAATTGCTTTTGGAAATCTTTGGATGGAGGTACCTCGTTAACTGTATTAGTTGAGATTTCTTTTTTTTTATTGATGATTTGTTACTTTAGAAGATATTTGTGTAAATTAAAAAGTTTACAGTAATCCATATAACCTTTTCTCTAGTTTTACAATATCTTAAAAATTTTTTAATTGATTTTACATGTTTTGTATATGTGTTTGCACAAGTGTATGTACGTGTGCAGGTAGGTGTTTGCCGTGGTGTTCCTGTAGAAGTCAGAGGACAACTTGGCAGGAATTGGTTCTCCCTATCATGATTAAGCCCAGGTTGTCAGGCTTGGTGGCAAGTGTCTTAATTTGCTGGACCATCTTGCTGGCCTTGCAGTAACTTTGTGATAATTATATGATGAACATTTCTTAAATATTAGGACTGTGTAGTGTTTTTTTATTTTGAACAGAGCAAAAGTAGATATATTAAGGAAAAATGAGAAAGAAGACATACTCCAAGGGAAGATTCTTTGTTTGTTTTAAATTAACTAAAAGTTATTGTGCATCTAGTATAAATATTTGATATATTGACCTGCTAGAGCTTAAATTGAATCCTGAGATTTCTTGCACAAGGACTAGAGATATAACTCAGTTGGTAGAGTGGTTGCCTAGCATACCTGAGGCCACAGGTTTTATTCCCAATGCCACATAAATCGTGTGTAGTGTGACACATGCCTATAATCCTAGCACTTGAAAGTAAATATAAGAGGATCAGTAGTTCAAGATTATTTTTGGCTATGCAGTGATCGATCATGAGATAAAAGAGACCCTGTCTCCAAAAATAAATAATATGTAAATACTTTGCTCATTTAATTTGATTTGTTCAAAATGTATGACAGAAGTCTTTATTAGAGAGAGAGAGAGAGAGAGAGAGAGAGAGAGAGAGAGAGAGTGTGTGTGTTTTGAGGCAGTTTCTCTTTGTAGCCCAGGCTGTTTTGGAATTTGCTCTTTAGACCAGGTGGACCTCAAAATCACAGCAATCTGCCTCCCGAGTGCTGGGATTTAAAGTGTACACTACCGTACCCGGCTGTATATTTGACTTACGCATGAATTTCTTTAGCTTAACGTCTTTTCTACAGTTAAATGAAACACCAAATTTAGCAAGCATACTTGTAAACTTAGTTTATTTTGTTTTGCTTTGGTTTTTGTTTCTTTGAGACAGGGTTTCTCTGTGTAACAGTCCTGGCTGTCCTGGAACTTGCTTTGCAGGCTTGGAACACACAGAGATCTACCTGTCACTGCCTCTGAAGTGCTGGGATTAAAGGCATGCACTACCATTGCCCAGCTGTAAAACTTAGTTTAATACTTGCTTCATATTCACATTAGTCACTAGGAGAAACGTTATCGTCCATTAATTGTAGTTTATGTCTTTATTTTAGCTGTTCAACAAGATTCTAAAACTTGCCAGTGTGATATGGTTGGTGCTTAGTATTATCAAATGCTGCTCCAAAAAAAGATTTAAGAGGATTGGTATTAATTGGATATTTCATAGAAATATGAATGATTTAGAAAAAGGCATTGATATCTTCCCAAACTAAGAGACCAATTAACTATGTTTTTGTAATAGTGTAGCAAATGAAAGTTGTATTTGATTCTATGTTTTTAATATATAGGTTTTTCCTCTGGTAGTATGAAATATTTACATTGTTTTGCTTATGGAAATGACCATATAGAAAAGAAGATTGAGGGGCTGGAGTGATGGCTCAGTGGATAAGAGTACTTACTGTCCTTGGCAAAGGACCCAGCCAGGTTCAAGTCACAGCATCAGGGAATCTGATGCAGTCTTCTAGCCTCTATGGGGACCAGACACACATGTGGTACACAGACATATATGCAGGAAACACTTGTGCACATAAAATAAAAGCATTAATTTAAAAAAGAAAAAAGTAGATTGAGATAACTTTCTGATTAAAACTATACTACTTATCTAGTAGAACTTGCTTTTTTTAATGTATTTACAAGGTATGAAATTAAGGGTTAATAATAGGAATTTTATAAATCAATCTGTAATAGACCTACCACTTTAAAATTGTGATTAGTGCTTTTTAGTTTAAAAATAGTTTTGGGGGCTGGAAAGATGGCTTAGAGGTTAAGATCACTGACTGCTCTTCCAGAGGTCCTGAGTTTAATTCCCAGCAACCACATGGTGGCTCACAACCATCCATTATGAGATCTGGTGCCCTCTTCTGGTGTGCTGATATACATGGAAGCAGAATGTTGTATACATAATAAATAAATAAAATCTTTAAAAAAGTAAAAATAGTTTTTGACTAGCTATATTTTCATTAGGGTTATTTATAGAAATTCCTACATAGTATGCTTAAATAATAGGTAAAATAAATCAATAGATGATAATTTTGTAATACTTTCTAGGTGCTGTACTTGAAACCACCATGGACTCTAATAAATCTATTGCAGTGCTTTAAAAAACATTGGCTGGCTGTATTTGGATTAGTTATGGAAAATAAGTTGCTTTTAATTATTGAGAGCCTATCTGAAAATCTCTCTAAAGGTATGAATCTTTTTTGTTTTTCTTTTACAATAGTTTGTTCAAGTATTAAGTCAATCTAGTGTGGTGGCACATGCTTGTAATCCTAATATGGTAAGTGGAGGCAGGAAGATCAGAAGTTCATGGTAAACTGTTACATAGTGAGTGCAAGACCAGCCTAAACTACATGGGACTCTTTCTAAAAGCAGACAAACCAAACAAGCAAAAGACAAATAAATAAATCAACCAAAATGGGCTGAAGAGATGGCTCAGTAGGTGTAGTGATTTGAAAAAAATGGCCCCCAAATGGAGTGGCACTATTGAGAGGTGTGGCCTTGTTGGAGGAAGTGTGTCACTTTGAGGTCTCATATGTGCTCAAGCCACACCCAATGTCTCAGACCACTTCTTGTTGTCTGTGCAAGATATAGAACTCTCAGCTACATCTCCAGCTCCATGTCTGCCTGCACACCACCATGTTATGCCATGATGACAATGGGCTGAATGTCTGAACTGTAAGCTGCCACCTCAATTAAATGTTTTCCTTTTAAGAAGAGTTGCTGTGGTTGCAGTGTCTCTTCACAGCAGTAGAAACCATAACTAAGACAGTGGGTAAAGTACTTGCTGCATAAGCATAATGATTTCTGTTCAGATCCCCATATCCGAGTAATAGCTGCATGTGGCAGTGTGCTCTAAACCCAGAGTTTGGGAGATGGAGACAGGTGAGTTCAGGGGCTTTTGACTAGCTAGTCCAGGATTGATGTTACACTGAAAAAATAAGGTAGGAAAACAATCAATCTCTCCCTCCTTCCCGAGCTCTCTCTCTCCCCACCTCCCAATATCCCTCCCTTTTTTTCATGCTTGAAAACATTCAAAAGGGCTGGGGAGATGTTCAGTCAGTAAAATGCTTGCAAAACAAGAACGGGAACTTGAGTTCAGTCCAGCACTCATGTTAAAACAAACAAACAAACAACAACAAAAACTGGGTATGTTAGTTTGTGTTTGTGATCCCATACCGAGGAGATGGAGCCAGGAAGATCCTTAGGGTTTGTTGACCAGCCAGTCTAGCTAAATTGGAAACTCCAGGTTCAGGGTTTTGGGACCCTGTCTCAAAAATATAAGGTAGAAAGTGAAGAAGACACCTGTCACTGGCACCTAGTATTGTGTTTACACAAACAAAGCACACATGGATATGTATCTCCACACATACACATACAAGTACACATGAACACAAGTTAAATCATAATGTATCATCCATAGGATTTGGAAATAAGTTGATAAAAATCTTTTAATTAGTTCTCAGTGATTTATACTTCCAAAGGAAGTTTGTGGCAGCTGGATGAATAAATAAAATTCTTAAAAGTCATGACTATAAATAGTGTCATTGTTAATGTTTCTAGACATTGTATAATATTTAATGATAATGTACTTGGAAAGCTGCTTCTGGAGCTGAAGAGATGACTCAATCAGTGGTTAAAGAACTTGCTGTGCAACCATGAGGACCAGAGTTCAAATACCCAGAACCCCCAGAAATGCTTGGTGGGGTGGTAACCCACCCACTTGTGATTCTAAATTCAAAGGGTAGAGGTGGGATCGCCAGAGCAAGTTGCCTACCAAGAAGAGCCATATTGATAAGCTCTGGGTTTGACTGATTCCTGTTATCAATGGGCTGGGCCTCCACTCATAGAGCACACATGTGCATGTGCACTCATACATGCATATGTGTCAGACATGCATACACACAGACACCACAAACACACAAATACATATGCACATACAAGTAAACTTACCATACAAAAATTGGGGTGGAGGGGAGAACCAGTTTTTTTTTAAGTTGCAATTTTGAGTCTTTTTTGAGGCAGGGCCTCATAGTCCAAGCTGGCCTTAATTTTGCTGGGAAGCCTTAAATTCCCAGTCCTGTGCTTTTACCTCCAAAGTGCTGGGATTACAGTTGTGTACCATGCCTTGTTTTGAAAACATTTTAACATTTCATAATCTACTCAAGAATTCCATTAAAATGATTTCCTTTCATTTTTCATGGTATCGAACACAAACTGACACATTCCATGCACTACATATAGTAAGTTTAAAATTGAGTCATAGTGAATTTAGAACTAGCAGAGAACACAGTCTTTAAGCTGTGGTTTGTAAACTATTTTGGATATGAACTTTGGTTTCTTGAAGTGCTTCTATTGCCACAGATTGGAGTGGGAAGATAGTCTGGTAGTTGATATTTTTGATTTGTAAATCTAGCTTTAGTCAGTGTGTGGTTTTGTAACTTTTTCATGTTTTAGAATCAAGGAAATTTGCCTTAGCTGGTAAGCAACTTGGCCTAAATTCAAGTAGCTATATCTTTCCTCTATACCTGTAAAGGACAAAGTATAAACATTATTCATTAGGGATACAGTTGATTACTGACTCCTTTCAAACTCTGCATGTGAAGAAATCTAGTCTGCTTATTGTTTATATTTAGCCTATTTCTTTTTTTTAACTTTTTAAAATTTTACATATCAACCACAGTTTCCCCTTCCTCCTCCTCTCGTGTTTCTTCCTCCCTCCCTTCTACACTCCTCCATCCACTCCTCTGTCTCCATTCAGAAGGGGTAAGGCCTCCCATGGGAGTCAACAAAGCATGGCATATCAAGTCGAGGCAGGACCAAGCTCCTCTGCCTGCAAGGCTGAACAAGGCATCACACCATAGGGAATAGGTTCCAAAGAACCAACTCGTGCATCAGGGACAGGTCTCAGTTCTAGTGCTAAGGGCCCCACTAAAGACCAAGCTACACAGCTGTCACCCAGCAGAGAGCCATACGGGCTCCCTAGCTGTCTGCCCAGAGTCCATGAGTTCCCAGAAGCTCGAGTCAACTGTCTCTGTAGGTTTCTCCTGTCATGATCTTGATCCCCCTTGCTCGTATAATCCCTGCTTCTTTTTGCCTGGACTTTCGGAGCTCAGCCCAGTGCTTGGCTGTTGATCTCTGCATCTGCTTCTATCAGTTACTAGATGAAGGCTCTATGAGGACAATTAGGGTAGTCACCAATATGATTACAGGGGAAGGCTAGTTCAGGTACCCTTTCTACTATTGCTAGGAGTCTTAGGTTGTGTCATCCTTGTGGGTTCTTGGGAATTTCCTTGGTACCAGATTTCTCCCTAATCCCATAATGGCCCTCTCTATCAAGATATCTCTTTCATTACTCTCCCCCTTGGCTTCGCCCCCAACTCGACTGTCCTAATCCCACATGTTCCTCTCCCCTCCCCTTACTCTACCCCCTCACCCCAGTTTACCCAGGATATCACATCTATTTCCTCTTCCCAAGGAAGTTCTATGTGTCCCATCTTAGGGTCCTCCTTGTTACCTAGCTTCTCTGCGACTGGGGATTGTAGCCTGGTGATTCTTTGCTTTACATGTAATATCCACTTATGAGTGAGTACATACCATGTTTGTCTTTCTGGTTCTGGGTTACCTCACTCAGGATTTTTTTTTCTAGTTCTATCCATTTGCCTGCAAGTTTCATGATGTCATTGTTTTTTACCCCACTGAGTAATATTCCCTTGTGTAGATATGTCACATTTTCTTTATCCATTCTTCAGTTGAGGGGCATCTAGGTAGTTTCCAAGTTCTGGCTATTACAAATAATGCTGCTATGAACATAGTTAAGCAAGTGTCCTTATGATATGATATGATATGATATGATATGATATGATATGATATGATTGAGTATCCTTTGATATGATTGAGTATGCCCAAAAGTAGTATTGCTGACTGTTGAGGTAGAATGATTCAGTTTTCTGAGAAACTGCCATACTGATTTCCAAGGTGGCTGTATACGTTTGCACAGTCACCAGCAGTGGAGGAGTGTTCCCCTTACTCCATATCCTCTCCAGCATAGGCTGTCATTAGCATTTTTGATCTTAGCCATTCTGACAAGTGTATGATGGTATCTCAGAGTTGTTTTGATTTGCCTTTCCATGGTGGCTAAGGATGTTGAACAATTCTTTAAGTGTATCTTAGCCATTTGAGATTCTTCTGTTGAAAATTCTCTTTTTAAAACTGTGTCCCATTTTAAAAATGGAATTATATGGTATTTTGATGTCTAATTTCTTGAGTTCTTTATATATTTTGGATATCAGTCCTCTGTTAGATGTGGGGTTGGTGAAGATCTTTTCCCATCTGTAGGCTGCCGTTTTGTCTTATGGACAGTGTCCTTTGCCTTACGGAAGCTTTTCGGTTTCAGAAAGTCCCATTTATTATTTGTCAATCTTAGTGTCTGTGCTACTGGTGTTATATTCAAGAAGTAGTCTCCGGTGTTAGAGTGTTCAAGTCTACTTCCCAGTTTCTATTCTATCATCTTCAGTGTAACTAAATTTATGTTGAGGTCTTTGATCCACTTGGACTTGAGTTTTGGGCAGGGTGATAGATGTGGACCTATTTGCATTCTTCTCTACCATCATCCAGTTATCCCAGCACCATTTGTTGAGATGCTTTCTTTTTTCCATTGTATATTTTTGACTTCTTTGTCAAAAATCAAGTGTTCATAGGTGTGTGGATTTATGGCAGGGTCTTTGATTTGATTCCATTGATCCATGTGTCTATTTTTATGCCAGTATCAAGCTGTTTTCATTACTATAGCTCTGTAGTAGAGTTTGAAGTCAGGGGTGGTGATACCTCAAGAAGTTCCTTTATTTTACAGGATTGTTTTAGTTATCCTGGATTTTTTGTATTTTCATATGAAATTGTGCTGGGATTTTGATGGGGATTGTATTGAATCTTTAGATTGATTTTGGTAAGATTGCCAGTTTTACTATGTTAATCCTACTGATCCACAACATGGGAGATCTTTCCATTTTCTGATCTCTTTCTCAGTTTCTTTCTTCAAAGACTTAAAATTTTTGTTATAGACTCAGTAGACTTCCTAGGGGAGGCCTTACCCTTTCTGTGGAGCAGATAGGAGGAGGGGGGAAGCGAGGGGAGTGGGAGGAGAGGAGGGAGGGGAAACTGGGATTGGAATGTAAAAAATAAATTAATAAA